ATGGTTCCGCTCTTTTTCCGCTGTCCCTGTAGACAGAGCACTGTTCACTTCTCCAGCCCCCAGTACCACACGCCCCTTCTACACAGCCTAAATGAACAGTTGTCACCCTCAACCTCACAGTATCTGCAATTGTGTTGATTGTACAGGAACTTCAGACTGTCCAAAAGCACAAGGGAGACTCAAACACGTGCCATAGATGCCACCGTAAGGCTGCTTCTAGGGGCAGTGTGTGGGAAAGCCAGGCACTACTATCACCTCAGTTGAGGCGGGCCCTCAACTGAGTGACAGAGGCCCCATGCTGATGTCTGAAAAGGGGGATAGCAGGAATACCAACACCCCAGAATAAGGTTCATGCCCGTGACACATCACCTGGGCGGCACAAAGTAGGCACTCATGGCTACTGCCACAGAGAGGCTGTTTCTAGCGGTGGCCATCATGCTGAGTGACGGGAGGTCCATGCCCTCCCTCTACAGTGTACCTCAGCACACCAGCTGCCCCTTGGCGTCTCTGCTACTTCCCTCATGGTCCCAGCAAAGTGAAGGAGGCAACACCAGCCCAACAGCTCAGTCTCCTCCGAGTTGAAGTTCTGAGATGCAGGATTGTTTCTGTGGCTTTTGAAAGTTTGTAGAATAAAAAAGCCCATTTGGTAGCACACATTGGGACCTAGGGGACTCAGGAAACAAGAAGCAGGGCCACTTCCAGGGATAAGGCAGGGCACATAGTAAGTCTACATGGGACAGTAAGAACTATATGGGCTCTGCAAAGCAAAAGGTGCCACCAGCTCCTCTGCCCGAGTAAAAAAACCCACAAGAAAGTACAGCCCCCACCAGAGCCAGTGATCAACTTCTCCCCTCAGACGCCAGATTCTTGCTTTCAAACACTTTCCCCAACCTTCTGAAAGAGAGAGAGTCCCAGTTTGGGATTCGTTTGTTCCATTTTCCCTCACAGAGAGAAGTCCCAAAGCCAGTCAAATTAGCACAGTTGTGTGTTACCAGCTGCTAGCCCTCAGCTTGCACTACTAGACTTTCTAGGCAGCTTTAATTACTCTAAGTGCTGGGAGTTCCCTTAAGGGCTGTGTACATGGGAGTGGGGGGGGGACCTGGACTGCTATGTGGCTATGAACACGGACATGACACTTGTGTAAAGGGTTATACCACACGCTGTTGCATGAAAGTGCCAGTGCCCATGTGAATGTAAGGTAAAGTCACACTTGCTCTCAAGTAGCACAGGAGGCTAGTGTCTCCCAGGGGAGGCCACACTTTGCCCAAGTACACTTTCTAAGACTGTTTCACTACTGCAAGCATGTTAACATCGTAAAGATAAAATAGAGCAGGGTGGTGATGGCGCACACCTTTATTCCCAGCACTCAGGAGAGGCAGAGCAAGGTGATCTCTGAGTTGGAGGCCAGCATGGTTTATAAAGCAAGTTCCAGGACAGTCACAGCTAGCTGCACAGAAAAACACTGTCTCAAAAAACAAAAATAAATAAAATCAACAAAGGTAGGGGGAAAGAATCTAGAACTCAATGCAAACATCAACGAATAATTGAAAGCATTTCTCATCAGGAAGAGGCAACGGTGTCTAAAGTCACAAGAACTGAAGAGAGACCAGCAACCACACCAAATCCCTTTTAGGGTTTCTCAGAGTGGCACCCGAGTGAGGGCAGAGCAATCTGGAAGCACCCACTGGAAGGCTGGCCTGGAGGAGTGAGCTGGCAGTGCAAGGGGTTCTGACTTGGGGAGAAGGTCGGATGTGGAGTGAGACAGAAGGAAGAACTCTGTAGGGTGGGACCAGCAGTCTGGATAGGAGCTCAGGGCTTTCCCGTGGGAAGTGTCTAGAAAACAGGCTAAGCAGGGCCCCCTAAGCAGATGGCCCCACGCTAGGACTGGCTGCCCACATAAACACTGCAGGTCACAGTGGCTCCTGAGCGTAAAATGTAGCTTGGGCAACTGAGAATATGGAACTCTCGATTTTTCTTAATCTAACTTTTAACTTTGTGGTGCTGGGGACTGTAACAAATGCTTCAAATACTCTGCCACTGAGCCACACGCTCCCAGCCCCCAAGTTTTGTTCTTTGTTTCTAAGTTTGTAGCACAGGTTGTGGTTAGTGCCCACTGTATCAGAGGACTTAAGAGACACCATAGTAGGCATGAATCACCATGTGACGCCTAGTACCCAGCACTAGGCTTCTGACCAGGTCAATAGGAACTGGAGCCCTGCCTCAGAACCACTTGCGGGCTCCACCTCTACTGGACAGCAGCACCATGGAGTCTCTGCTGGTGGCTCAAACTTTGCTTCAAAGGCATGCTCTCCTCAGAAGTGCAGCAATTCCAATTCCCTGCACATGGAGCAAACATGACACACTTTACTTGTACACCATTAGCAACTCTAGAAAGCTAGAACATGCGCACTTTACAATCTCTTTCAAGATATAAATACAGGAGGACCATTCCTGACTCGAAAGCTAAGAGCTCCTACTGTCCTCTTAGCCACAAAAACAAAGAACATGCCACAGCTCAAACAAGACACATCTCATAAACCAATCAACATACTAAGTACCAACAACAAGAGTGAGCAAAATTGAGGAAAACACCCAATGTCAGTCTCTGACCTCCACACATACCTACACACCTGCACCAACCCATATGCATGCATGGTACACAAGAATTTATGATATGTGTATTTTAATACAGTTTTAATAGGGGAAAAGCTACCTAGCTATGGGAGTCCAGAGAGTCTGGCAGAATGAGGGTGCAGTTTCTATTTTCTTCTAACTTTGTGTAATGATGCTAATCAGGAGCTGTGCACCTAACCTGATGACTGTTTTCTTGTTTTGGCAGTGCTGGGAGCTGAGCAGAGGACCTTGTACACCCAGGCAGGGTCTACCACGCACGGAGCAGCACTCCTGGCCCTCACAGTGCTACTGTGCAGGACTAAAGCTATTCAGAGTGTCAGCACAGGCCAGTATTGCAAGTTCTTGTTTTCAATCACCGAGTTCCAGAGCTGTTTTAACACTCTCACACTGCTAACTACAGCCAGGTGTGGTGGTGCTGGCCTATAATCCCTGTGTTGGGGAGGCAGAGGCGGGAGGAGCTCTCGACAGCCAGAGCTGCCGTGAGTTCAAGGCTGGTGTGGGCCACCTAAGATCCATCCTCAAGGACACAAACAAAGCAGAGCACTGACCCCACCAGGCTTACTGAACTAAGTGCATAATCTAACAAGAAGGCGTAATCACTGCCCCCACGGGACGTCAAAGTGTGCCAGGGCACCCAAAGACACACACTCTCTCTAACACTCAACACCACACACCTCTGTTGTCACAGCTGGCATCTGAACACTGAGGTCATTGACGATAAAAAGCCGTAGCTTCCACCAAGGAAGTCTTTACCTGCTTTAACTCTGAGGGTCTCTATCTGCTAAACTGATCGTTGCCACCTTACAGTAAAGACACTGGGTCCCGAAGAACCAGGCCCACACCTCACAGTTTACCAGTCACAGAATGAGGACTTCAACTAAAGCATGCTCCCAACCTGCACTGTCACGAGGCTGCCTCTTTTTCCCCTTCCCTCCCTTTAAGAAAGAAAGCAAAGAGTCATAAGTCTTTTATTTGGGTTTGGGAAAGCTGGATGGAAGAGAATGAGAGACTCTAGTAATAAAAGAATGGACGCCAGACGTCTCAGCGACGAGCAGCCATCTGAGCCCCTCCCATACAGTGAGTGAGAGAGGGCGCTGTTTTGCACAAGCCTCTGCTACTGGATTCCTGAGTGTAGCAAATTCCAGGCTCCAGACTGCAGGCTCAGCCTCTGACTAACACTACAGTGATTTATTTGAGGATAAATACCTCTGTCAGTGTCTCATGACTGAATACAACAGACCAGGCAGATTGGCATGCGTGGAATGGAAAGACGCGGGTTGAGGCAGCAGAGGCCAGGGCCGCCTCCAGCTGCAGAACACTGTCCATAGGAGGGACCCTGTGACTGCACCTGCTGCCTGCACCCCTGTGCCCTGTCTGTGGAGCAGTTCCAGTGACTACAAACTACTTATCTGCACCCGGGGGACACAGACTGGCTACACAACTGCCACCGCCCAGACATCCCAGGCCCATCAAGTCCTGAAAATACAAAACGGTATGCACTGCCTTAGCCAATGCCAGCCAGACCACAGCACAAATTCAGAGAACGTCAGCTTAAGCCCCTTCATGGGGTTTAAGAGTTGCGCTGGAGAGATGGCTCAGCAGTTAAGAGCATTGGCTACTCTTCCAGGGGACCCAGATTTGATTTCCAGTTCCCACATAGCAGCTGACAACAGTCTACAACTCCAGGTCCAATGAATCTGGCACCTTCACACTGACATACATTCGGGCAAAATACCAATGCACATAAAAATAAATAAAACCTTAATAAGAAAGAAAAGAAAGTTTTATGGGAGGGAGGGAGGGAGGGAGGGAGGGAGGGAGAAAATGAGGGACAGAGCAGAGACTAGGGCATGCCAGTGCCAATCAAGGATTAGAATTAGTCTCCTGACACCAAAGGGGCTCTCTTACCATGGCTCCAGGCTAACTCCAGCCACAGGCAAAGGAGTGCTCCCCAGGGCACAGTACTGGACACATGGACATACGGTCACACAGGCACACGCGCGCGTGCGCGCATGCAACAGCCTTCACAGGTAGTCACTGTCATTCATTGGGTGTGTAATGACACCCACTATCAATGTGCATTATGGCCAGCAGAGTACACCAAGCCAGGTTTTCCAGACCATGCCCACAGGAGGTGGCTGCTGGCCTCCAAGAGGGAGGTTGTAGGAGTTGAAAGGAAATAAGATTTCATCTTTGGACCAATCACTAAAGCCAGCTTGACACCTTCCTGGCATATGAACACCACTTATCTCTTATAAACAATGTCCTCTATCAATAACTCATGAAATCATAATGGTGTATGGGCAGAAAGGTGAAGGGAAACACAGCCCAGCCCAAAGGCATGAGCCGCAAAGGGCAGAACTTACAGGTGGGGGCTGAAGATGCGGCTCATCTTGGAGATGTGATCGCTTTCACAGTCGAGGTCCTTGTCCCCGGGTTCCATGCTGAATTTCCTCTTGCTGGGGCTGATGGGGGGTGGGCCTGTGCGGTGATTGCTGAGGGCAGAAGCCACCGGGAGGGTCTGCATTCTGGGTTCTCCCCTGAGAGAAGCTTCACCTATACGAAGGGAATGGGGATATTATTGCCAGCAGGAAAAGCACCCCATTGTGGTCTCTACGGTCCCCTAGCTCCCTGGCCCCCCGCCCAGCCCCTTGCAAAACTTCTCTCTGTGGAAAGTTTTGGCAATACAGCAGGCAGACTGCCATTCTCAGAACGTGGTCTGGGCATGCGGCCACTGCCAAGCAGGGGACATTTGACATCAGTGAGGTTTGCCAGCCCTGGCTCTTTAGGGTAGAGTTTAAATTGAAAAGTTGCTATAAACAGCCGAGGGGAAAATGACCATGAGGAATCCCCAAAGGGAAGTTAAACTCAGAAGGCCCTTTGATTCTTAGGAATTTGACCTTATACCTTTAAGCAAGTGTATAAAACCACTGTTGACAAGCTGATTTCGCTGCTTTTATTACAGTTTTTGAAGGTGTGTGTGTGTACCATGACCAGGGAGGCCAGAATAGGTTGTTGGAGCCCATGAAGGTGGAGTTACGGGCGGTTGTGAGCTGCTTACCATGGATGCTGGGAACAGAACCCAGGTCCTCTGGAAGAGCAGATCTCAAGCACTGAGCCACCTCACCAACCCCAAGCTGCAGCTCTCAAAACGTGTTTCACAGATAGCTGCTCACGAGGGCTCCGACCCAGCTCTGCCTTGACAGGCCTGACTTTCTCGGCTGTTGTCAGGGGCTCTGAGCTGAGAGATAAATTTGTGCATGTCTGTAGTTCAGGGCAAGCATGGCCGTTCAATACTAAGGGGTTTCTGTCTTCTAACATTTATAACAAGAGCTATAATTACTTTGAGTGGGCAGGCTCGCTCTTTCCCACAGAGACACCCTTCTGTTGGGCAGTACACATTGGCTTCTGGGGCCTGACCAATCTTGTTTCCAGTCACAATTAAGAGTCACATTAGCACGAAGTCAACTTCATCTGAGGTGCTGTGGTACCCAAGAAAAGCCGCCTTTGTGACCACTCACTTCCTTTCATATCATCACTAATGTGTGGCAGTCAAACAGGCGTCAGAGGTGACAAACGCGGTTTTGTTAGGGGACAGGAGGGAGGGAAAGGCCTTCGGAGTACCCACCAGGAAAAATAAAAACTCTGCCAGTTTAGAAAGCAAGATATAAACTTGCAAATATACAGTGACCTGCAATACACCCCCGGCAGGATTTCTTGTAAGACTTCTGGCCACAGGGCAAACTGGAACTTTCCATACTACACAGAGTAGCTCAACATGGATTCTTGTGCCGGCCACTCTCACAGACTCTGGCTGATCTGGGTGGGCCTCAGCTTCCTTTCTGCTAATTTTTGGTTTCAGAAAACAAGGTTAAGCAGTGTTGGTCCTCAGACCTTGAGAAGGTGCAAGCTTCCTTCCTTCCCCAGCCCTGTTTCTTGAGCTTCTTCCTCTACTGAGCAGAGATGCCTCTTTAAGACTATGGTGAGCAGACAAAGAAGCCCATGAAACCCCAGGAAGTCACTACCCCTGCAAACCGACCCACATACAACGGCCTACACTGCCCAGACTCTGTGCCCAGTGTTTCCCAACACCCCTGGCAGAGGCCAAGGAGCAGGGAGGATGCAGGCTCAGCGTGGACCCCAGAGTTTCAGGAGCCATTTCATCAGCTGCCTGCTGGGGCAACAAACGTTGCTATGGAAACAATCACCACAGCAACAAGTTCCAAGGGGTCCAAAAAAGGAGCAGTCATTTAGGATCGCAGCAATGGGGTGGCCCAGTCTCAGGACAGAAGCCACCTAGAGGCCCCCATCACTTGGGAAGTCACCCATGGAGAGGCCAGTCACTCGGTGGCTACACAGCACAAGCTTGGTAGAGAAAGCCCTGGGCTCCATGCCCCCAGGCTGTGGCAGCCTTAAAGGAGTATATGTTTGCTCCATTTGAAGTTCATGCAGGAATGAGCTTCAGAGGCCGGCACAGAGAAGAAAAGGACACTGGAGGTTTTCCAGAAATGGAGTGGGGACGAAGGGCCCTGAAGGAACCGCAGAGTCCCCTGCAAGTGAGGTGTGCATCCTCGGCAGCACTGGGGACCGCATGAGCAACACATAACCTCACAGGGGAAGGGAATGGCTTGCTCAGGTAGGCTGAGACAGGAAGCATGCTGTCTTCCGCTGGTCATACCAACACCTCCCTAACTCAGAGCTGAAGGAAGGGCAGCAATCCTCAGTGGTGATCGGATCTGGCCAGTGACACCCTTTTGCTCATCTTTGGGTCTACCTGCCCCCCCCCCAAAGGAAGCTGTCCAATGCTTGTATCTTTAGAGTCCGTTTGCTATACTCTTGTATGTGGCAGAGGTAGGTTAGGACGATTTCAGCAGGGGCTGGAGACAGCGCACCTGCCTAGGACATGAGACCCTGAGTTCTATCCCTAGCACTATTACTGAAGAAAAACCCCAGGTGCACTCCTTAATCACCACCCCCAATTAAAATAAGCAAGTTTGTTTTTTTTTTTTTTGTTTTTTTTTTTTTTTTTTTTTTTTTTTTTTTTTTTTTTTTTTTTTTCTTGGTTTTTTTTTTTTTTTTTTTTTTTTTTTTTTTTTTTTTTTTTTTGCCCAGGATATTTTGGTCCACCATATTTTTTTAAGGAAAAAAATAATAGAATGGAAAGGGCTGGAGGCCAAGCATTGCTCTAGGCACACAGGGCCCTGGCGCCACCCTTAGCACTACATGCACAGGGGTGGGGAGGGAAAAGACACAGCTATATCATGATGCCATACATGAGCAGCGACGTCAAAGTCATGTTGGACCAGGGCACAGCCTCATCTGAAATCCTGTACCTGAAGGATTGATTCTAAGACTCCTCATTCTGGACACAGTGACAATGGCCAGACTCGCTACCAACTGGCTGCAGCTTTCTCACCTCTTTCTGCCAACAAAACACAGAACTTAGCTTTTCAAAACAGCAGTGTGTATTCCCTCGCTCACTTGCTGAGATGGGGAGGGGGGGTGTCTGCACCTTGTAGCCCAGGTTGGCCTCAAACTCCTCTTCTTCCTGTCAAAGCCTCAACTGGGATCACAGATCACAGGAGCGTGCCACCACGCTAACCTTCAACAACAAACCTTCAACCTGAGCCACAGCTTATTGTTCTCTTTCCCTGCCCCCCACACTCCCTTCGCCATGGTAGAACCTAAAGTCAAAACATCAAACCACAGCTCCCCACACCAGCCACTTGGTTGCACTGGCGTGTCTCCCGTCTGACCACAGCCATGGTGACCAGGCTGATGTCACTGTCTCGGTGGAAGGGCAGGCACCCCCCAGTACAAGATCTGCCCTTCGACATTGCACAACCCTCTCACAGGCGCAGGGCCATGTGGGGCAGGGGCCCAGGCAGCTGAGGGTATTTATTTTCTTTTAAATAGTGAATCACCATCACAGGTATGAACAGCTGGGGGGAAGAGGCAATGGAATCGGCCTCTTTTCTATAGTCTGGCTGTGGCCGTCCTGTTCTTGTTCACTTTTTGTGTGTGTTTTAAAGAAGGGTTGTTGGGCAAATAGGTGAGCAGGCCCAAGCCAGCAGAGATAAAAGAAGTGGCACACTGTCTGCCCCAGCACAAGTCTGGCCCACACTTCTACTGCAGTGACCAAGCCCTTGTCCTCCAGCCCTCTGGTTTAACAGAAAGCACCTTTCACAACGCTGCTCAGAACTATAGCAACCAATGCTCAGAGCCAGATCTCAGAACCAGGAGCTGAGCTCAGCCAGCAGAGGCTGCCCAGCAAGCCAGGCCACTGTGGCCATGTAGGTTCCAGCCCTGAGCAAGCAGGTCTTGGTTGCTGAGCTGCAGTGAGCTGGAGAAAATCACCACCTGTGTGGCTTTCAGCTGATAACAAAAAAGCAGGGTCACGGGGGAACCGACAGACTGAACAGGCAGCATTTGGGTAAGACAGCACATCTCCTAAACCTCAGCTGGAGAGCCTGGTGGCCTGGCCAAGCTGAGGGCAGCTTAAGGCACTGAGGCCACTTTCAGACAAAGACCACCCAGGAGGAGCAACAGGGGCAGCTGTGATAAGGGCAGACAAGACACACACACACACACACACACACACACACACACACACACACACACACACACACACGCCGCCCCTGCCCGCGGCACCAGGAAAAGCACGGAGATGCACACTGTACCCCACACCCAGATTCACAGACCCCAAGAATCATGGAACCATAAGGGCTGAGGACTCCAGAGGCTGAGTCCCAGACTTCTCAGGGACTCTGGCTGTCTGCAGATGGGGGTAGGGGCAGGGTTCAGACTCCATTCAGGATTTAGTCATAGAGGAGCTCCAAGTGTGACCTGGTCCCCACAAAGCAGCACTGGTCCACGAGGACCATAAAATGTCCATAGCCTTACCCTGTTTTAAGAATCTAAAATGCCACAAAGGATAGAAGACAACAGCCTTTGTTTTTGTTTAATCTCAACAATGCTGGGTGGCTTACAACCACCTGTAACTTCAGCTCCAAGAGATAAGAGGCCCTCTTCTGGCCTCTGCAGGCACTGCATGTACTTGATACGTGTGTACACACCACACACATGCACGCACGCGTGCACACACACAGAGCATCAAATATCTTTTTTAAAAAATCCCAAATGACACTTATAGTTCAACATCCACTGCACTAGAGTAAACACCGAGGAAAGGTTAATTTGCATATCAAAAGTTACTAAAATACTTTGAATACAAAACTGCTACAATTATACCCAGACACTGCCATTAGCAGAGGCAACAAATCCATAGTGTAAAACCACCTGCATTCCCCGGAGTGACAGTAAAGACCTTGCTCCCTCCTTCAGACCACAGCTTATGGCAGTGACTCCAGAAGGGCACAAGGCTGCAACTTGGATAGGCGGCCACCAGAGGCTCTTACCATCCACCTGCTATTGCACCACAAAGGAAGCTCCCCCACGTCAGAGCAGCATGAACTATAGGAAAGGCTGTCTAGCAGAGCCTGCTTGCTTGCTTGCTTTCTAAGACTTATGTTTGCATGTGTGCATGTGTGCATGCA